GTTGCTGTCATATGTTGTAGACAGAAGTTCAACATTCTAAGATTGGATAGGATTGATAATAGTTGTCAACTTGAGCCCAGAATTAGACCCATTTTATACAATCTCATCTTTATCAAGTTTAATTGCTTAAGAAGCATGGTATTCTTTTTTCCAAAATGGAAAGAGAACTCTTTCAACTAGAGGTATCATGGGAATAAGTCTGAAATAATCAAAAAACCTGAAAATCATTGTTCAACTGTATTGGCTTTTAAATGTGCAATACATAATTAAGTGCCAGGAAATATCCACACATACAGGCCACATTCACCCCAAGTAAGGTTATTGAACGTTCTAAGGGGATGGGTTTTAAAAGTTAGATTTAAATGAAAGTATGAAGCTCAGCTAGAAGTTCAAGCCAAAAAGAAACTATTATGGGATGCTGTTATGTATCCATGTATTTTCTGGTTCTGGTTTGGTTTTTGCCCAGGAAGTTACTCACTCAGGTATAATAAAGGTATGGAAGTGTGAAGACCTTTTTGGGGTTTAGAATTTGGATTTAACGACTTTTATTGGGTTGGAAATTTTGTGGTCATGACTTTTTTAAGAGTTCATGAAAGAAAATGGTAAGGACTTTTTGGATGATTTATCATTTTGTCACAACCAAGGATTGAATCAGTGTTACAGACGTCTCAGCCAGATGTAAATTATATGCAAATGACAAACTAAGACTTCCATTTCAGCGGTTTTTGATTTCCTGTTTCAGTGGTTTCTGACTTCCTGTTTCATCGGTTTTTGACTTCCTGTTTCAGCAGTTTTTGACTTCCTGTTTCAGTGGTTTATTCAAAATAGATCATGTTCCGATAGACAGATAGCAAACTGAGACTTCCTGTTTTACTGATTTATTCTCAAAAGATCGTGTTCTGACAGACAGATGACTCCGTGAATTAAAAAAAACAGCAGATACAAAACCTGTCTGGAACTCTTGTGATCATTGATTTGTTTTTTAATGGGCCAAATTGGTATTCTGTTATTGGACTGGAACTAGCTTGCAATGGAGGCTCATGGGATAGAGCATCATGGGATGGAATATCATTAGAAAGAGATAAAGGTGATTTACATTTGAAAAGACTCCCTGCATTATCCTCAGTCACAAGCTAGTTCCAGTCCAGTACCAGGCATACAAATATGGCCCATTGAATGGAACATGTATTCCGAGAACAAAACAACTTTTTCAGTTTTGTTCTGGCTTATTAGACTTATTTGATCTGGATTTAGCCAGATATGTTCTTTTTAGGGTCTGATGATTTTGTCGTATTAGCTCTTGCCTGTCAATATTATGCCTGAGTGCTCACA